AGGGCTTGCTGGGGACTAGCCCCCAGGAGAAACAATGAGAAACACAACCTGCAAACTTCTCCCAGCCTTCCTCATGGCAGGAAAAGTTTGCTTACCATCAAATTCCAGTAGGCTGTGAGGAATCAGGACAGACTATGGGCAATAGACTGGTGGCAGGGGATGAGTTTCCCTTCTGCTGAGTCACAGTGCCCCGCACCCCAAGCTGTTTGTTCTTGCTACTGCCTTTGGGATTAATTAGCGATAGAACCTGCTGGTCTTGTTTAGCTCAGCCCTTGCAGCCAGCAGGTCTGCTGGACTCCAAGTCACCCAAGGAAGAGGTGATGTGGGACCAGGGCAGTGGCCGGGGGGGGGGGTAGTCTGGCAGCTGCCGTGTCTGGGCTCCCTTCCCTGCTGGCTAGGGCTGGACTCCTTTGCAAGAAGGAATGTGGGAAGACATTGACTGAATCTAAGCACAAATTTATAGGGGCTCGTGGTGAGATACGGCAATCTTTCCTGGACTTTTCAATTTTGCTTGAGGACCACAGCTGGGAAGGAGCTGTCTGGGGACGTGGTGACTTAGCTGGAGAAGCAGGACCTGATTGGGATCTCCAGCTACCAATATCTGGCCTGGCTGGAGCCAAAGAACCTGGGCTACCACCTGCTTGTTGTCGTTCAGGTTTGACTTCAGTATCCTGTCTTATAAGCCCAAACCACTGCTGATGTCTGTCTGTGAGGATTTTAGGGCAGAAGGTGTGGCAGAGAGCGCCAGGGGTTGGCTGCCAGCTGGAGGCCCTGTAGAGGTGGGCCATCCCATCCACCCTGGGTCACTCAGGTCAAGGGTCTGCTTGGGTTTCCCAGGGTGGAGCCTGGGTGTTGGGTGGGGCACAGATGGCTCCTTGCCAAGGATGAGAGAACTGGGGGCTGCTGAGGTAAGCTTGGCTGCAAAGTCAACAAAAGGGCCTCCCTCCTCCACTCTAGGGCTCATGAATCACCAGGGCTTTGGGGGGGTGCCAATATCATCATGACACAGCAAGAATCTTATCAGCCCAAGGGGAAGGCAGTGCAGAAACATTCCAAGGAAAGGGAGCGGCCGGGGCTGCCAGGTCATCCTTTCCTTGTACATTGAGATGGGTCCTGAGCACCCATTGAGCCCATGGTGCTTGTGGTCCAGGTGGCAAGACTGAGGCCCAGAGAGATAAGGGGCTCACTGAGGACCATGCAGTAAGCCTATCCTGTCCAAGCAGACCCCCTGTCCTATCTCTTTCTCTTACCCCCCTTCCTCTCTACATCCCCTGGAGGAGTCATTCTAGTCTGGTAGAGGTCCTATCAGATGGGGGAGGAAGTGATCTGCCAGGCCCAAGGATCTGCAGACCACCCCATGCTGGTCTGTAGGGAAAAACTGGTTTCTTTTCATTGCTTTCTGGACTGGTTGGGGTTGGGAATCCTGAGAAGGTGGGGGAAGTGGCTACACAGCAGAGGGAACAGAGAGCAGCTCTAAGCCCATTGGGTAACATCATGATGCCCCCAGGAAGGAAGCGGGGTGTGCGGGTGAGGGTTGGGTAAGTGAGCGAGGGAGGAGGAAAGAACACAGGATGGCGACATGGGCCCAGCCTGCCCTGGGGGACCTGCCAGTTACTGTGTGCTCTGTATCGGCTCCTGGCCCTGGCTCTGCAAGCCTCGCTCTGAAGGCCCTCCTCATCAGATTTACATGCTGAGGAATGGGGCTGGGAACACAAGGGCCCATTTGTGTCTTCTGTCACATGTGCCACTCTGAATTCTTACTGGGCTGCTAATTCACCTTGGGTCCTGGTCCCCTAATACACAGGTCCCAGGAGGAGGGTGGGGCCTGTGCCTCTGCGCTGCAGAGGAGGCACTTGATCACCATTTGCTGGATGAATACACAGAAAACTCACTGGTTTCCCACACTACCACCCTGCCTACCTTCTACATGGAAGGAGCAGGCACAGGAGGTTGGATTTTTGGGAGCTGTTCTAGGTGCTCCCTGAGTGTGGGAGGCCAGCCCACCCTGCTCCAGCCCCCTTGAACAGAAGGATGGACAGACAAACAAGGTTCTTTTTTGGAGAAAACCCTGTCCTCCCCCAGTCCACCCTGCTGGAGTGGCACTTCCCCACTTCTGCTCTAGAAGCCTCTGGTTGTCACTCTTAGAGCAGAGGAGAACAAAGGGGAACCCTACTGATTACAAAGAAACAAAGTTGCCCAATCCCAAGCTAGCCCACAGGGTGAAGGCAGTGAGGAGTCACAGAAGCAGCTTGGCAGAGCCTGAGCACCCTGACCCTTGCTTCAAAGGTCTCATTTGCTATGTGGAAGAAGACAAGACACTTGCCCCAGGTTACACAGCAAGCTTGGATGCCCTCAATGAAGTGTCTAAGAGTCGAGGGTCTGGAACTGTAAGCCATTTACTGCGGTCTGGGATGCTCTTTTAGAGCACCTTGTGTCAGGCTGGCATGGGAATGAGGAAAAAAGGAGAAATAATCCTGGGTTACTTTCTCTTCCAAACTATTTCTTGGACAAAGGGCCTAATGGTCAGAGTCCTAGGTGATAAGGTTGGCGGCCAACACAGGTATAGCTCCCCTAAGGACCAGGCTGGGGCCAGGGTGGAGGCCAAGCCTTCCCTCGTGTGCTCCTCCTGTTTACTCCCCAGACTTGGCGTTATGGGGAATCAGAAGACCTCCCTTCCGTCCCACTGGCTGAGAGCCCTTCTTCCCTGCTCTGCCTTCCGCCCTGCATTCTGGCTTTCTTTTTTCAATTCTGATCAGAATCTCAAAGTTGATAGAGAATAGTCTCTGCAAAGGGCAGCAGCACATTATAATGCATGAACAAAGAATCAAGGTCCTCCAGACTGAGGGGACCATGGTGTGAAAGGTGCAGAGAGACAATGCCTATCCTTTCAAGAGCTAACTAGTTTTGGTAGAATTCTCCCTCAAGATTATGTGGTAAGTTACAGGCAAAAATGGTCCTGTGTTGCTTAGCAGATTCTTGGTCACGTCCAGGGTTAAAAATGCTTTTTACTTCCAGATGAGCCCTGACAGCTCATCTCACCAACCCCTGTACACATCTTGCCACCCAGCAGATCTCTTTTCTACACTTTACACTGGGAGGAGGCCTCAGTGTGGGAGTCATGGCTTTTCCTATCTGAGCAAAATGGTAGTGCCACTGGCTAGGCAATGGGGCAGGTCACAGCTCCTCAGGAGGCCTTGGAAGTTGGGGCAAAGAGATAGCGTTCAAACAAAGGTTGACTGTTCGTCTCCAGGGAACTTGACGTGGTAGAGAGAGACAAGGTGGAGATTGAGCCTCAGATCCTGCCCCTGCAACTAACTGACTGTGTGACATTTGTCAAGTCACAAACAGGTTTAAAAAAGATAGACACAATGAATAGTCTCTCCTGTTTGCATCTCAGTTTTCCCCAGGGAAGAGGAAGTCCAATCAGATAGTCCCTAAGGACCCCCTGGCTTTAGGACCTGGGTCTACAGCCAATGGCTGTGCACAGATTCCAGATATGCCTTGAAGTGAGTGTATACCAGGTGGTGCTGGGGTGGCACACAGGCAGGAGCAAGAGGGAAAGCCCAGTTGGAAAAGTTCAGACACCCAGCAGGAAGGGACCAAAAGCAAAGTCACACTCTAAGTCTGGATTTTAAGATGCAGAGCCTGGGGGAGACTCACCGAAGCACCCATGATGATGAAGATGTGTGTTTCGGACTGATGGAAGGCATCACCCTGGTACAGCTCTTCCCGTAGGATCCCGCACACCTGGGTCCGGCTCAGGGCCACCTGCTCTGCCATGATGCTCTCTGGTGAAAGAAAAACTTATTAACAAGGCAAGAGAACAGAAGAGCATTGAGAAGTTGGCCCCTTTCTTGAGAGGTCTTTTGGGCTCTCACCCAGCTGAGGTCTGATTATTAAAACCACTCACTGGCTATGAATGGTAGGGGCAGGGGCAGTGGCAGGATGTTTAGGGGTTAGAAACTTCTGGCTCTGGGCTCTGGCCATGCTCCCCGGGCAGCCTTCTTTTACAGTGTACAATATAAAATTACTCAAAGCACTAGTGGATTCCAACTAAAGCCTCTGTTCTGTGGGACTGAGTTAAACCCTGCTGGAGTACCGCACGACCTGCCTTAGGTTCACATTACCCTGGAAATCAGGTGGAAAGTCCACAGAATTGGAGCAAGTTAGACCCCGCAGCTCCAGCCCTCCTCCGGCCAAGCTAGGAGACCTAGGCAAATCACCGCCCGTCTCCTGGTCTGTTTCCTCAGGGGTCCAATGGGGACAATGGGATGGTATAAGACCCTTTAATTTTGCCCGGCTCCCAAGCATGGCACACCGAAGAGACTCGCGGCGCAGCACGCCCGTCCGCTGGGGTGACACCCATCACCTCGTTACCTGAGCCTCGCCGCCCGTCGCGCTCACAGCCCTGGAGTTTCTGGCCGTTTCCGGGGCCTGAGAACCGCCGGTCCATTTAACCAGCGGGGGCGGGCGCCAGATCTGAGCTGACCGCCTCAGACGAGGCGCGCGCGGGCGGGGCCTCCAAGGATCCATCCCTTGCGGGGGCGGGGCGCGGGCAGGTGCGCGCGCATCGCAGGCTGGCCCTCGGCGCGAGGTCCCCAGCCTTGGCCCGGCCCGCCCCGCCCCTTGGGCACCTGCGCCGGCCGCTTTGCCGTGCCGCTGTGCCAAGTACCCTACGCCTACCAGATCCGCGTGCAGCTCCGCGCCGTTTGCTCACGTATCCATCACAGGATAGTCCCGACTCCTACAACCCAGCTTTCTCTCCCGCCCCCGGCGGCCTTACGCCCTCGTGAAGGGCTCCAAATCCGCCGGTGGCGTGGCCACGCCCCCTAGACCACGTTCACAGCACAGCCCCACCCTCTGGTCCGGACCGGTCGCCGGCTGGGGTCAAATCAGTCCTATTAAATTGCGTTGTCGTGGCTCCTCCCCGGGAGGGGGCGGGGCATCCGAGCAACCGTAGGCCGGTCGCCGCTACCCGAGAGACTAGGGGAAGTGTACGTTTGACACCAGGAAAAGTAGCGGGTGGTGGATATCACTGGGGAGCGTCCTGTGGGCAGGCCGATGCTTACGGGCTCGGGCTTCTTTCTAAAACAACCACCTTCACACTTCTTGCTGGATTTCTGGGTTAGGGCGGGGCTTGTGTGTTTTACCTCCGGGTCCCGCAGTACGACACCGGAAGCCGGAAGTTGGAATTTTAGCCACGGGAGAAGGGCAGAGCTACTACGGAATCGGGACTTTCTTGGAGTGACGGCGCCCGAGGATCGCTCGGGGCCCGCTGCTCCGGCCCATCTCACGTCGGACGGATTCTGCTGACAGGTGTGGTCCTCTTTCCTGAAGACAGGAAGACAGGGTACCATTGGTGGGCGTTCCGCCGCCTCCTAGGTTCCCCCGGACATCCAGGCTTCCTACTCCAGTTGGGCCCCGTGTTTTTCTACCTCTCGCTTCTAGAGCCCCGGCCCAGGCGGTGCCAATGCAGGACCCAAGTTACTTTGGTGGCTAGTGGGACTGCTTCCACCTGTCCCTCCTCTGCTGCCGCGGAGTTTGACCACACCCCTAGTTCTTGCATGATTCTAGTTCGGAGACTTTTTCTGTTCATCAAACTTGGCTGCATTTGAAGTTGTTAAAATTGTTTAAAAAGACTCCACTACAGTTTGGCAGCTATCTTATTTCAGGTGCCTCCATTTGTTCACTTTGCAAAAACGATTAATGTCTACTTGACCTCATACCGTTTGTGTGACTAGAGGATGAATGGGCCATTCTGGCATGTTCAAAGAACAGTAAGAAGGCCACTATAGCTGGAGCAGAGTGAGTGAGGTACTTGGAGAGGAAGCAATGGGGGATCAGATGGTACAGGATCTTGTAGGCCCTTGGGACTTTGGCTTTTACACGAAGGGCAATGAGGAGCCATGGTAGGTCTGATTAGAGGAAGGGCATGATTGGAATGACTTTTTAGGCTGATTTTTCTGGCCAGATGTAGTGATTAAGGTTAGGAACAGGGTGACCTGTTAGAAGGTTATTGCAGCAATAATCCAAGTGAGAGACAATGGTGCTTTGAGTGTTTCCTTATGAAATGTTTCAAAAATATACAAAAGTAGGAAGAACGGTATTGTAAATCCCAAGTACCCACATCCCAGCTTCAACAGTTATCAACTCATGGCTAATTTTGTTTAATTTATACCCTTTGCAATCTTCTGTTATTTTCAATAATTGCTTTATTGAGATATAATTCACACGACAACATTCACCCATTTAAAGTGTACAGTTCACTGTTTTTAGTGTATTGACAGAGTTCTACAACCATCACCAGTAATTCCTGAACGTTTTTATTACTCCAAAAAGAAACCCTGTACCCTTTGGATAGCACCCCCATCACTCCATCTCCCCTACCTCTAAGCATCCACTAATCTTTCTGTCTTTATGTATTTGCTTATTCTGTACTTTTCATATAATGCAGTCATACAATATGTAGTCTTCTGTGAGTCGTTTCTTTTTCTTAGCATACACTTTGCAGGATTTGTCCATGTTGTAGCATGTGACTGTACTAGATTTTGTTTACTCATCAGTTGATAGACATTTGGGTTGTTTCCACTCTTTGGCTGTTATGTAATGCTGCTGTGAGCATTTGTGTATAGATGTGTTTTCTTTTGGGTATACACCTAGGAGTTTCCCCATTATCTTGAAGTGAATTTTAGACACCATCTATCAATATTTCAGTATGCGTCTCCAAGAAAGGACTTTGAAAAAACATAACCACAATACCACTATCACATCCAAGATAATTAACATTAATTGCTTAGTGTCATCAAGTAGATTCAGGGACACATTTTGATAGCATTTCCTGATGGATTAGATGTGAGCTGTGAGAAACAGGATCAAGAAGGACTCTAATTTATTTGTCCTGATAACTGGAGAGTGGATTTGCCATCAACTGATAAGGAAGGCTGTAGGGAACTGGCTTTTGGGAACTGTCAGGAGTGCATTTTTAGAGAGGTTCATTTTGGGAGGACTACTAGATTCCAAGTGGACATGTTGAGTTTGATATGTGAGTCTGGAAGTCAGGAAAGAGGTCTGATTTGGGGCATCATAAACATTAAGGTGGGGGTTAAAGCTGTGTTGCTGGATGGAATTAATACTGGAGTGGCAGTAGATATACAGGAGAAGAGATCCCAGAACATAGCCCTGGGGCACCTCAACGTGAAGGGATGGATTAAGAAGAAGGATTCAGTGAGAGAGACTGAACTGGAGCAGCCAGTGAGGTAGAGGGAAAACCAGGAAAGTGAGCTGTTCTGGAAGTTTAGGGAAGGATCAGAGGTTGGTCAGATACTGCTGATGGGTTAGTGGGGTGCTCAGTGGAATAGTCAAATGTTCAAGTTTATCTGGTGTTAAAGCCCGTCTGCTCAGGCCTGGAGATTTGAGATTGGCCTGTTACTCCAGGTGGTCAGTCTTGGCAGGATTTGAAAGGGCTCCAGGTGGGTTCTATCACACATGGCCTACCTCTGCTTTAGTTCACAAGAGAATGGGAACAGCTCAGCGCATCTCTCTGCTTCACTGTCTCAGGCTGTGAGCCCAGCTCCCACTTTGGGATTCCTCAGCACATGTCTGATGCCAGATGTCCCCATTGGCCCCCTTAGTTCCAGGGAACACTTACCAGATTCTGATCAGTTTCCTTGAAGCCCCTCTTACTAAGTGTATTAATTTCCTAGGGCTGCTGTAAAATGTGACCATAAACCGAGTGGCTTAAAACAACAGAAATTTATTCTTTTCCAATTCTGAAGGCCAGAAGTATGAAATCAAGTATCGGCAGGGCCCTTCTCCCTCCTGAGGCTGTAGGGGAGGATCTTTCCTGCTTCTTCCAGCTTCTAGTGTCTCCAGGCATTCCTTGGATTGTAGCCACACCACTTCAGGCTCTGCCTCCACCTTCACATGGCTTTTTCTCTGCGTCAGCGTCTTCTGTTTTATCTCTTATAAGGACACCTGTCACTGGATTTAGGGACCACCCTAGTCCAGGATGATCTCTCAAGATTCTTCACTTAATTACATCTGCAAAGACCCTTCTTCCAAATAAGGTCATGCCCACAGGTTCTGAGGGTCAGGACATGGACATATCTTGGTGGCAGTCATTCAACCCACTCCACTAGGTGAGGGGCCAACAGCCTTCACTCCTGCTTGGAGATGTGTGTAGGGGGTAGGATTCCCACCACACAGACACCTCCTTCCAAAAGTCATCCTCTTGCTGATTTCTTCCCTTTGGTGAAATTCTTCATTTCAACTTATAGCCCAGAACAGGCGCTAGACAGAGTTATAACCAATGCTGAGCCATGGCCTTTCTAAGTCCTACATATGGGCATGCACCTCCCTTTGGAATGGGAGCATGTGTCACCTTTTAGACCAGAAAGCCCATTTAACACCCTATTACACTTGCCGAAGTGCTCGGCATTCTGCTTAAAGTGTGGCCCCCAAAACCGCTGCACAGACTGCGCTCCTTGTCCTGCAGGGTAAGAGTTCTGCACAGGTCTCGTGTGACACCTGCACTGCCTTTTCCTTCCAGACCTTGACTTGTTGGATGATCAGGCCCCCCTGGAAGAGCCAGCTCTGTGAGATGGTGCAGCCCAGCAGTGGCCCGGCCGGGGACCAGGACGTGCTGGGTGAAGAATCTTCTCTGGGGAAGTCGGCCATGCTCCACCTGCCTTCAGAGCAGGGTGCTCCCGAGACCTTCCAGCACTATCTGGAAGAGAATCAAGAGCTCCGAGGTGAGGAGGACAGAGGGGGTGTGGAGTAAAAAGTCAGGGCACCCAGTTGTGCTGGGGGGAAGGCTTACTCTACTCACCTGTGCCTCTGTGTTTACTGGGTCTGGGGGACGGGCGCATCTCAGAGCCAGCTAGTGATTTAAGCTCAGCCACCCTCCTTTGTTTTAGGTGGGGTTCCCTGGAAGCATATTGTCAGATGGAGAATAATGTGCAGGAAGTTTCTTGTGCTCTTAGTGCTTTGAGGACCAAAACTGGGGAATAGAAGGGAAGGACAGGAAAGAAATGGGTGGACAGAGGGAGAGCTGGGCTGCGGTGCAGGCTGACCCTACAGGGAGCTGGAATGACCCTTCTGAAGTGCCCCAAGTTGGGCCAACATGGCCAGGCCTTTATAGTTCCATACTGATTAGTCATTAAGGGCTAACTATCCTGGGAAGGAGCTCGACATGGTTTGGGTCTCCTAAGAGGGGGAGTGGCCTGCCTAGGAAGGGCTTGTGGGCTGATTTGAGAAAGGGAGGAGTCTTTGGCTCCCAACCCTGGGCCAGGTGCCTAGCAGCTTTGTGAAGAGCCCTCAGTTAAAGGGGCTTCTTTCAGCAGCCCCTTCCTAGCCAGCAGCTAGTAGTCGAGTTTCTTCCTGGCCATCCCATCCCTGTCTCCATCACAGCCCCCACTCACTCACTGTCCTCACCTGGATCAGGAGCAGCTTTTCCAGGTCCCAGTGGCTGTGGTACTGTGCCCCTCAGGTGATGTGGCTGTCCTTGGGTGCTGTACATGCCCTCCCTCTCCCGTGTGACAGTGGGCCCCTCCTCATGGTCATGCCCTTGGGGTTCCAAATCTGGCCTGCCACTCCTTTAGTACTTATGAGTAGCCCTAGGTGCCCAGGGGGCACCCCTAGCTTCTAATTCAAAGAGACTCTTGTGTTTCTGCTGTGGGGACCGTCTAACCTGCCGAGCTCAGAGCTGTAGGGAGGAACGCACAGACTCCCAGGTGGGCCATGGGCAGTGATGGGGTATGCAGCCCCTTTTGCTTTATCCCTTGGTTCATGCTGGGAACTTAGGGCTTGTAAAGGTCACAGCCCCTACGTACACCATGTCCTGGAGGGTGGCGCCTCATGCTTGTATAAATTGCCTTCAGTCCAGTGTCTCCATTGTCTTCAGTCAGCTGTCTACTATTGTGGTGGACTGGTGAGTTGGCATGTGACACAACCAGTGGAGGTCGTAGTCATAAGGCCACTACTCCACCTCTTTTGCTGGATAGTGTGTCCCCTGGTGTGATGGGATGTTATGTGGTGCCCTGTGCTGACAAGTCATATGCTCTGTCAGCCTCAGAGGCTGATCTAGCTGAGGCCCTGCAGTCAGAGCACCAAACCCGTGCCTGGAATATATCTCTTTTTCCTGTCAAGAGAAATTAATTGTGTTTCCTTCCAGGATGGAAGGGGTCCAGCGCAGTCAGCTTGCCCCCAAGAGGCTGGTTGGTCTCCTGGACGCCTGGCCTGCTTTGGAGACAGCTCTGTTTGGAGCACAGAGAGCCAACAAGACCCGCCTGCCTTTAGGGCTGAGTTCTCCACCTCAGCGCTCAGACGTCCAGTGATATCTGGGCATTGCAGGGTATTGAGCAGCGTCTCTGACGTCCACCCACTAGTTACTAGTAGCACCCCTCCAGTTATGATCACCAACAGTGTCCCCAGAGGTTGTCAACTGTCTTGCTGTGTTGGGGCCACATGGAGTTGACAGCCAGGTTGGGGGTGGGAAGACAGCTCATCCTCCACAGCTATGTGCATGTCCTCTGCTTGCCCTCAGGAGAACACTCGGGCAAGGGGGACTCGAGTGAGAGTGTGGTAAGCCCCCAGTGCAAGGACTGTGGCACCTCTGGTTCCCTCACAGGGAGCTTAGGCTCCAGTGGCAGGTGGAGGCCTTGTGGCTGCATGGCTTTCATCTGTGCTACCTGACCCACCCTTGTGCAGTGGGTTGGCTACATGGGTTTCTGCTAAATAGGTGCTGTGTGTCAGGCCCTGGGCCAAACCCCTGAGGTCTTGAAGGTGTCTCTCCCCCTTGATGTTCATGATTGTGTCTGTGGAGGAGGGGGCAGAAGGCAGGACATAGACTTTGATTGGAATGTGTTGGGGGAAACTGTATGGAAGAACTTGCATGTACCTAGTGTCAGAGTCCATTTATGTGACATGTCCAGGAGAGGTGAGTCCAAAGAAACAGATGAGTGGTTGCCAGGGGCTGGGGACACTGGGGAAGTGACTGCTGGTAGGTATGGGGTTTGTTTTAGGGGTAAGGCAGATGTTCTGGAACTAGTTAGACGTGATGGGTTCACAGCTTTGTGAGTACATTAAAACCGTTGAATGACTGTATATAGTTTACCCTTTAACAACATGGGAATCAGGGGCACTGACCCCCACACAGTTGAATATCTTCATATAACTTGATTCACCGAAAACTTAACTGTAGTGCTCTCTCAGTACCCACAAGAGGTTGGGTCCAGGACTCTTCCCCAACCCCATGCTAAAATCTATGAATGCTCAATTCCCTTATATAAAAAGGCGGAGGCCCTGGCTGGTGTGTCTCAGTGGATTGAGCACTGGCCTACAATCTAAAAGGTTGCTGGTTCAATTCCCAGTCAGGACACAAGCCTGGTTGCAGGCCAGGTCCCCCGTTGGGGGTGTGTGAGAGGCAACCACACATTGATGTTTCTCTCCCTCTCTTTCTCCCTCCTTTCCCCTCTCTCTAAACATTAAACAAAAATCTTAAACAAAATAAAGTAAAAAGGTGGAGACTACTGCATACAGTAGGCCCTGCACATCCACGTTTTCCCAGCCATGGATGAAAAACACCATTTCAGTCTGAGATTGGTTGAATCTTCAGATGCGAAACCCAGGGATACTGAGGGCCTACTTTATGTTTATTGAAAAAATTCCAGATATAAGTGGGCCTGAGCAGTTCAAACCCATGTTGGTCAAGGGTCAGCTATACTTTAAAATAGACTTTTCCCCTTGTTATTGAATTTATTTGAGTGATACTGGTTAACAAAATTATACAGCTTTCAGGTGCCCAATTCCGTAAAACATCATGTGTACACTGTACTGTGTGTTCATCACCCCAAGTCAAGTCTCCCTCCATCGCCATTTATCCCCCCTATACCCTCCTCTACCCTCCCACTTCCCTCTCTCTGGCAATCCCCACACTGTTGTCCGTGTTCATGAGTTTTTTCCCTTCTTCTTTTTTAAAAATAATCCCAATAGTTAAAACAATGACTTTGATGTTCTGTGCATTTTACCTCAATGGAAAAAGAAATTGTACCTGAGCTGAGCCTTGGACAGGGGCTGGGCAGGCCTATAACAGGTGGAGGTTGGTGGGGGAATAGTGTACCTGGGGCAGGAGGGCTTTGAGTTTCTGCAGGGGACGAGTCACACAGGGACAGTAGAGTGCAGAAGGTAGCTTTGGAGCCAGGCTCAGAAGCCCCTGAAGTTCCAGTGAAAGAAATATTCCATCAGCAGGAGCTAGTTAGGTAGTCAAGGGTTTTGGCCAGAGGGTGGGTGACACGAAGCTACTGCCTGCCCCCATTTTCTATAGCTCTGTAGTTGCTAGAACCTTTGCACATCACTGATTAGTTTTGTCACCCCTGATGGTCTGCTGCTGCTTGGGGTGTCCCCCGGGTGTGTGAGTCTCCTTTCCATGGCCTCTGTTGAGTGTGTGGCATTTACAAATGCCCATCCTTCAGCCTGGTGAGAGCGGGACTGGTTGTTTCTTAGATTTGTGTTGTGCACCAGGTACTTCGTCTGCTCTTTCATTTAACCCTCCTCATCCTGTGAGATGGGTACAATTGTCCCCGCTGAATCTGCAGATGAGGACGGTGAGTCTCAGAGAGGTGAGTAACTGGTCCACTTCAAGCCCTCTGGCCCTCCCAGGCTGCAGCCAGCAGGGTCACAGGGAAGTTTGCCCTAGTGGTCATCCCCTGAGTGTGCAGGTGGGTCAGGACCTACCGATCCCAAAGACAGTGACCGACTGTGCACCCTAGGGCAGGCATGCCTGTGACTACCACCAGAATACAAATGAGTTCCAGGAATCACTTACAAATAAAGTGACATTTGGGACACACTTCTGAGTGAAGCCAATATGTTCAGTATTTTGTTGGAGAAATCTAGGGGCATATCATTAGCATAATTGACTTTGAAAGTGTTTCATAAAATGAAAGTGTTTTGAAGCCATCTCTCCGTGTGAGAGGCAGCATGGTATTATGGGGAAGGCGCCATGACAGGCCCAGGGAGAGGCTGGCAGGCCAGTGGCCAGGCCTTACCTCCCCTCTGCCATTTCCTCTGCTACCAGATGCCATCCGGCAGAGTAACCAGATGCTGAGAGAATGCTGTGAGGAGCTGCAGCGTTTTCAAGGCAGCCAGAGGGAGGAGAAGGAGTTCCTCATACAGAAATTCCAGGAGGCCAGGAAACTGGTGGAGAGACTGAATCTGGAGAAGCTTGACCTGAAGAGGCAGAGGGAGCAGGCCCTGCAGGAGGTGGAGCACCTAAAGAGATGCCAACAGGTAGCCAAGGGGACAGAGTAGGCCCTTTCCCAGGTGTGGGAGAGCTAGGGGCCCTGGCCACCTGTGTCACCAGCCATATGCATTCTGAAAACCCACAGAGATGTCATCGTTTCTAGAGAGGTCTCCCAGAACAACCTCAGGAGTGGTGGTTACTACAGAGGGATTACTGTGGAGCGGTCGGGGAGGGGACGACTGAGTTTCAACCCTGGGCTGCAGCAGCCTGAGGCCACAGAGGACCTGGGTTCAGACAGTGTGATGAGGGGGGCCAGATGGTGGAGAGTTTGGACAGCTCTTGAATTTTGTTGCTGGTGGAGGTCTTCTGGAAACAGTGACAGTCCATCTTACCTTTTAGTGACCCTGGGCCTGTGGAAGGGAGCATGTACTTTTGTTGCTGTCTTTGTGTCTTGCCTCCCTTGACACAAAGTCTCAGAGAGGCTGAGAGACTCCTGTGGGGCTCTGCCCTCACGACCTGGTCATCAGCCTTATGAGACTTGAGGTCCCTCTGCGCTCTGGTGTCCCTGGGTCTCATCATTCCCTGTCTATAGAGATGAAGAGGGGCTTGGGAATGTGGCCTTAGGGGACCAACCCCTCTCCACTGTCTCAGTCACCTTGCTGGGGTCAGCAGACTCCTGGAAGTGAGAGGTGAAGTGAGCAGGGGCGCCAAGGGCAGGGGAGAAGCCTTCAAGGTGACACATATTAGTGCTCGCAGGCTGCCCTAGGGTTTGGGGTCCCCTGGAGTGGGCAGCTGACAGGAAGTGGCTTTTTTTTTTCATGTAGCAGATGGCCGAGGACAAGGCCTCGGTGAAAGCCCAGGTGACATCCTTGCTGGGGGAGCTCCAGGAGAGCCAGAGTCGCTTGGAGGCTGCCACCAAGGATCGGCAGGCTCTGGAGGGCAGGTGAGTGGGGAGGGAGCCCACCAGGGAGGCCACTGGCAGGGTGCTTGAGAACAATGAGGCAGTTTGGGAGCCTCCAGGGGTTCCTCTGTGGGAGGACAGCCTGGAGGACTTGATGAGTGAGTGCGTGGGGCACTGGGGCAGGTATGTAGCCAAGCTGTGAACCGAGTATCTGGGGCCTGGATCCCAGCAGCACTTCTGGGCTCTCTGACTTTTTGCTGGAGTTTGAACTATTTCCTTATGTGGCATTTGTGGGGGCACAGGGGCATACCTGAGATCCACAGAGTCTCTGGAAGCACTCCCAGTGCCTTCATGGCTGAGATTTATTACCGGGAAGGGCACCCTCAGGACCCTCGAGGACAGAGGACACAGGTCAGGGGTGGAGAACCCCAGACCTCAGGCTTCCTCTCTCCCTCAATCCCATGAGGGGCCTGCCAGATACTCTCCCTCTTCAACAGTGAAAAATGTGTCACTGCAGACCCAGGGAATCAACCCACCTGAGACCCAGCGCCCCAGGTTTTATTGGGGGCTGGTCACGTGGGCCCCCTGTGCCATACCAAATGCCCCACTCCCAAAGGAGAGCAGGTGCTCCACGTAAACCACCCTATTGTGCAAATAGTCCAGGTGCAGGGACCACCATTATCAGTAGGGAAATTGTCACGTCGACCCAGGGGACGTGCACCGGCTCACTGCCCATGTGCCTGCCACCTGAGGGCCAGTGTTGCAAGTGGCCCTTCTGAAGCTGGTCACCTCAAGCCTCCCAGTTGTTCTTTTCTGCAAAGGGGGGTTCCCGCAAGTGAAGCCATTGCGTCAGCGGGCACAGCTGTTTCTGTGGTTCCCATGCCATCCAGCTGCTGCCCTGCAGGAGGATGTCCTGCTGACAGGGGTGGCCCCAGCTTCCCCAGTGCAGTAGGGGATCAGGGTGCATTAGGTGTGTCAGGGGCACTTTCCTGAAAGAGGATTGAGGAGCAGTCAGGAGTTTTCCCCACCCATCATCAGAGTGATATGGAAGACAGTGTGAAGATGCTTCCATCTGGAAATCAGGCCGTGAGGAAAGGCTCAGTCTCACTGTTTCTTGCTCATGGCATTCTGCTGCTTTCTCCTATATACTCTTCTGTACCTCTGTGTTTCTAAAGTCACGTGTTGTTTTGAGGAGAGTTTGCGGCTTTTCTTGCCTGTCTTTTTTCTGTGCACGTTATAGAAGCTGCTGAGGATTTAGGCTGTCAGTGCAGTTTCACAGCTGACTTGGGTCAGTTAAGCACCCCACAGGGGCATTTACTCTGGCAGCTATAGGCTCTTGGGCAGCCTCTGTTCCTGCCCCTCCCTGATGTAGCTGAGCGTATAAACGCTGAGCTGGACTGCTCAGGACACAATACCTTGCTTGTATCTCTCAGATCATTTGATGTGGCTGTTTCCACAGCCTTGAACTTCGCACACATGCCTGCCCTATGAGTCTTTGGACTGTCACGTTGGAACGATCCTCCCCCGTCTTCAGGGCCCCTGGCAGGCAGCATTCCATCTGGTGATGATGGCAGCTGCACCTAGTTTTATCCGATCACAGAGGGAAATGTGGGTTCAACATATTTGGACAGATGTAGAAAACCAGACCAGTGACAACCCCCAGTAACCTCCTCCCACCCAGAACCATCTACCATCGCCTTGCTGTGGGGACTGTGGAAGGCCTCAGGGTAGTGGGATAACATGACTGGAACCTGGAACTGGAGGTTTAGGAAATATGAGTGTGGAGGTGGGAGACTGGGGGGCATGGGGCATATGAGGCCTGGATCAGAAGACTGGGGGCTATGGGGGGACCCAGGGGAGAAAAGATGAGCTGTTACAGTGGGAGTGTAGAAGGAAAGAGGAATTCCCTGCCAAGGCTATTGCATCTCAGGCAGGCAGATGGGAGGCTGTTCTTACAGGTGTGGGTGTTTGGATCTCCAAATGAGCCACGGAGGTGGGCCGGCCACCTCCTTGCCGCTGCTAGAACAGCAACTAGGAGGGGGGGAAGCGTTGCTTGAGTGCACTGACCCTGCCTCTCCCTCTAGCAGCCCCACCTCATTTCTTACCTTACCCCTCTCCTGACCTTCTAGAAAGGCCTGTTTTTGCTGGCTGCCTCTACTTCCTCTCCTCCCAATCGCACCTGACCCTTCCACTGAGATTGCTCTGGCCAGGGCCCCCAGCACCCACCTATTGAGCCTAATGGGTAGTTTTGAGGGGCTCCTCTGCCCTGGTCCCATCATATCTTCTTCTGGGATTACCTCCTTTACCTTTGAAGGGGCTTTCACATGGATGTCATAAATCTGAATTTGAGCCCCAGGTCTCCTTGCCACCTGCATCTGGTTGTTGGCCAGGCCCTGCATTGATACAAATGTGTTGCCGCTAACCTGGTGCCCTGCAGTTGTCCCTGTGTCCAGTGACAGTGCCTGCCCTTCTCATGCTGTGCTGGCTCAGCATTGACAGGATATTCTGAACTCTGACTCCTCCCTGTGCCCTGCTCCCAGTGCCTGTCCTCTCCCCGAAGACTGCAGAGCTTCTAGTTCACTGTCTCCCAGCTTCCTTCTGCTGGCAGTCCTCAGCACAGCAGGGGTGCTGCAAGCACCCTTGCTCCTGCTGGGGCCCTACCGTGACCTACTTGTTCCTCCATGCCAGGGCCCGGGCAGCCAGCGAGCAGGCCCGGCAGCTGGAGAGCGAGCGGGAGGCACTGCAGCAGCAGCACAGCGTGCAGGTGGATCAGCTGCGCATGCAGAACCAGAGTATGGAGGCTGCCCTGCGCATGGAGCGCCAGGCTGCCTCAGAGGAGAAGTGAGTGGGCATTCAATATGGGAGGGATGGAGACCAGACAGCCGTTGGTGGCTTTCTGGCTTTTGGGGAAGCCCTTCTAGGGACTCTGTGGCTGAGGGCTGGGTTTGGTGCCTTACCGTTATCACACCCAAATGATTTCATCTTTGATACGATAACATTCTCCATTTTCCAGTCCCTATTCACACTCCACCATTTGGCTCATGTGTTAACAGCATCTGGTCCAGGATCCTTCATTCTTTTTGCTGGCATACCTTTTGAGTATCCTTTAATCTAGAATAGTCCTGCCTGCCTATGTTTTTCTTGAAGTTGACTTTTTTCTTTTAAAGATTTTATTTTTTTTATTTATTTTTAGAGACAGGTGAAGGGAGGGAGAGGGAGAGACACATTCATTGCCTCTCTCGCTCACCCTCAAATGGGAACTTGGCTCACAACCCAGGCATGTGCCCTGACTGGGAATCGAACCAGCAACCTTTTGGTTCACGGGCTGGCGCTCAATCCACAGAGCCACACCAGCCAGGGCTGAAGTTGACTTTTTTAAAGTATGCAGGACAGTATGCACCCCTGCTGTGCTGGCAGTCCTCAGCACAGCAGGGGTGCTGCAAGCACCCTTGCTCCTGCTGGGGCCCTACCATTTTATTATAAACATTTCTTTTTATACTCTAACAAATACTTGTTTTAAGGAAAATGATATTAACTATTTAGCCAAGCATGCCTCAGGGCTGATGGCCTTTAGGGCACAAATGTGCCCTGGGAGCCCCATTTGGATTTGTGGAGGGAAGAAAGAGGGTGTAGTTGGAAGTAGGAGAAGCTATGGCTGGACCAAGACAAGGTGGTTTCTCCAGCAAAAACTCCTTTTTCTTAGGCGGAAGCTGGCCCAGCTACAGGTAGCCTATCACCAGCTCTTCCAAGACTATGACAACCACATCAAGAACAGCATGGTGAACAGTGAACGCAACCGAGTGAGTATGGCAGGGACATCCCTGGGACTACCTAGGACCGAACTGACCTTAGTTCCTCTTCCATGGGGCCTGCTCTCCCAGATTTGCAGATAATTGGCTTTCGGGAGGGATACTCGACTTGTCCTAGAGTTTGGTCAAGGCTGAAGTGTGATGGCTTAGGGCCAGCCATGGGGCAATGGGAACACGTGGGCTGTGCTGCTAGCTGCCTGTGCTGGGCCGTGCTGGGTCCTTTAGCTACCCATCACCACTTGGCTCCTGGCTTGGATTTCCTCGGGAATGCTTCCACTCCAGTGTTAAAGTCAACTGGGAACCCTTTTGTAGTTCGTCCTTATTAGGCCTATACTGGGTTCAGTTTCTAGCAATCACAATTTAAGAAGGAGCTTGTGAAATACGAACATACCCAGAGGAGGCTTTGAAGGGTACAGCCTGAAACTGGTTATATAGGAAGAGTTAATTACAAAACTGGCTGTTTGATCTTCAGAGGGAAGGCTGGGTGGTATGTGCGCGTGCATCTGTGTGTCTGTGGGAGTGCATCTATGCAGGTATCTATCTGCACGTGTGTCTGTGTGTGCAGCTGTTTGTGTGCGCATGTATTTGTACTGTGTCTGACTGCACCTGTGTGTGTGCCTGACTGTCGTGTCTGTGTGTGAGTGTGTTTGTGAGGAAACGGCAGGCCCTTGACTAGGTGGCAGAATGGGAGGACCGATGATGGGTTTTGGCTCAGTGGGCATGTGGTGGAGTGTTAGTTTTTAGACCAGGTCAGTGTGGAGTGGATGGCCTCAGGAGGGAGTGTGGCCCCTGTCCTCTGAAGGGTTGGAGGAGGGCTGTCAGCTGGGGATTCTGGGAAGGGAATGTCAGCCTGGGTGGGAGGTTGTGCCAGATAACCTCAGAAGTCCCCTCTTAAGCCTCCACCTTTCCTGTGCCCTACACACACTGACATCTGTGGTTGGTGGGCCAGCTGGGTCCGATTTTTTTTTCTTTTGGTTTTTCTCATCTGAAGTAGCAGCCAGCCTGGGGCTGGCATGACTGCAGCCCTGGGCCAGCTCCAGCTTTGTCAGCTCCCCTCGCCTATCCCTAGGGAATGCAGCTGGAAGATCTCAGGCAGCAGCTCCAGCAGGCCGAGGAGGCCCTGGTGGCAAAACAGGAAGTGATTGACAAGCTGAAAGAAGAGGCTGAGCAGCACAAGATTGTGATGGAGACCGTTCCGGTGCTGAAGGCCCAGGTGAGGGCTCTGCTATGTGGTTTGCATGTGGCCGAGTAGACCAGGCCCACTGGTGCTGGGACCTGGCATGCCTCTGGTGTCATTTTGCAGTGGCTTCTCGGAAGCTCTTCAAGCCCCTTGCACTGGTCCTTGACCTCTCAGTATACTTGGGGTGACTCTGTCTGTGCCATGGGCTGTGGGAGGTGGGAGTGGGCTCTGCTTTGCCCCCTGGTGCCCAGCACGGAGTGTCCAATGAATGTCTGTTGGGGGGGTGGTCATGGCCCTGTCTCGGCTTTGCCAGGCGGATATCTACAAGGCGGATTTCCAGGCTGAGAGGCAGGCGCGGGAGAAGCTGGCTGAGAAGAAGGAGCTCCTGCAGGAGCAGCTGGAGCAGCTACAGCGGGAGTATAGCAGGTTGAAGGCCAGCTGTCAGGAGTCTGCCAGGTAGGCCTTGGAACACGTGCCTCAGAGCAGTTTGTGCAAAGGAGGATGGGTGCTGTCGGGGCTTCAGTAGTAAGTGCGAGAGACTGAGTGCTTCTGGCTTGTCCAGGTGGGGTGAGCTGGCCCTTTCTCTCCCCGCCTATCACCCTTGTCCTCCTGTCAGCTTTGTGTGCCATTTGGAGCTTGGCTTGCATTTACTGATTGGATGCTTTCTCTTCTCAAAGGATTGAAGATATGAGGAAGCGGCACGTAGAGGTCTCCCAGCCCCCCTTGGCCCCTGCCCCAGGTGAGTGAGCTGCAGGAGGAGGGGTACGGGAGGGCAAGGTGCTGGCAGCGCATGGAGCCTAGGCGGTGGGTGTTTGTGTTGGCTGCCCTTCCTTATTGGTACCCCCCACCCAGGGGAGTTGCTAAAGGGAAGGTGGTGGTGACCCTGGTAGTTGGATCTGATGGTCCCATTAAGTCTCAGTACTTTCTCTCTCCTCCCCTCCCTGCAGTTTGTGCTATAACCAGTGCCTGTTCTCTTTCCACAGCTCACCAGTCCTTTCCCTTGCCCCCCCCGAGGAGAAGCCCCCCAGAGGATCCACCTGACTTCTGTTGTCCCAAGTGCCAGTATCAGGCTCCTGATATCGACACCCTGCAGATACATGTCATGGAGTGCATTCAGTAGGGCCGCCCACCGATGACCAGCCCAGGACAGTGCAGTTTGTGCTTTCTTCTCCTGCCTGCCTAGTCCTGACTTACAGGTTAGGTGACAGACGGCGGGCCACTTCTTTGAGCCCCAAGAGCTAGCTGCAGGGAGTTCTGCTTCACCTCCCCCATCTGCTGGTTGGTCTCTTCTTAGGGTACACAGCATCCCAGCTAGGCCCGATATGCTGCTCTTTCTGTTCGTTCTGTCTGCTTGAACCACTTGCCTCCAGGGCTCCCTCTTCTTCCACCTCAACTGGGGAAGTCAAGAATCAAGGCTGGGGCTCTCAGAACTGCTTCACAGCTTGAGATGGCAGGGGGCCCTCCTTTTGGCCCAGGCCCAGCACATGGTGGTGCCGGTGCACTCGAGGGCTGTGTGCTCTTCCGCTGGGAGGCTGCACCATGGCGTTTGGGTTGTCAGTCATTTTATTGCCATAAAAAACACCGCAGTGAAAACCCATGTGCATCAATCATGTGTGTCTTTGGGTTGGATTCTTAGAAGCAAGCGGCCACACTGAGCATCTGCGAATGGGGTCAGTGGTGCTGGTGCCCCCCAGTGTGGTTTCCTGCTCTCCCTTCATTCCCCATAGCCTTGCCCCAGTGAGGGGTATCAAGCTGTGGGCTTTTGTCATCCACCAGGTGTATAGTTCTCTATTAAGAGTGAGCTTGAGCATCTTTCAGAGCTTCAGGGTTCTTTTTCAATTCTGGCATGAATGGCTTGTTTGTGTTTTTTGCCCATTTTGTTATTAGGCCGTTAGCATTTGTTCCCTGGTTTGTAGGAGCTCTTTGGTCATTAATGGGATCAGCTTTTCTGTGTGATGGAAGCTGCGATGACCTTTCCCTACTGTGACTTTGCACTAGCATGTTTTGAAGTTTGTCATCTTTGTGTAGTCACGTTTATCCGCCTTTACTCCACTGCTTTGGGTTTGGAGTTGCAGCCACCTCTTGGTCTGATGGGGGATGCTCTTCACAAGTACACTTTACCTTTCCTTTTCCCAGCACTGAAGCATGCTGTTGTTCTCCCTGAGAGCATTGCCCTCTGGCCTGAGTGGCAGTGGCCACGTTTCATCACATTCTAGAAGTTTGGGACTCTGTTCCTTGCATCAGTCCTATACGCCCTGGCTTTGCAAATGAAAGCCACTTGGCAATCACTGGCAGATTACAAATACCAGAGGACTCTTGCTTGTTGTTTTGTAAGATTCTGAATATTTCCTAGGATGTCAAAGCCATAGGCATTTACCCTGTAACACTGTAAAAAAAAAAAAAAGGACAGTGGAAATGGAGGAAGAATACATATCATTTACTCCTTGGTGCCCTGGCCCTCGATCCTGCCTTCCTGCAAGCTCCCCTGTGTAGGAATGGGATGTTGCTAATCCATCCCTGAGCCTTCTCACAGGGTTGTCTGCTGTTTGGCAGTGAGAGGGCTGACTAGAAGTAGGACTTAAGTCTCATGCTGGAAGATGGCCAGCGGCTCCTTCTGAAAACAAGCCTGGACTAGGAGGTTTCTTGGTCTCTCCGGGGCTGGGACTGACTCCCGTTTCCTGAAGCCCAGGTGTCTAAATGCAGATTGTGCTTTGGGAAAAAATTAAAGATGCAGCCTGGTTCTCCACCCATGGGTGCTACATTTCAATCCTAATACCTCAGTTTTCTCAAGAGCACTTTTAGGTTTTTGAGGATGTATTAGTTTCCCATGGCTGCTGTGAAAAATGACCACAAACTCAGTGGCTTAAAACACCAGGAATTCATTTTTTACCAGTTTTGGAGGCCAGAAGTCTGAAATCCAGTTGTGGGCGGGGTTGGTTGCTTCTGAAGAATCAGTTCCAGGCTACCCTGCCAGCTTCTGGTGGCAGCCCTTGGTGTTCTTTGGCTGGTAGATGTGTCACTGCACTCTCTGCCTCCATGGTTACATGGCCTCTTCTCCTAGGCTGACCATGTCTTCTCTTCTGTCTCTTACGAGGACACAAGTCATTGGATTTAGGACTCACCTCTGCCATCAGGGAGGATCTCACCTCAAGATCCTTACCTTCATTATATCCACAAATAAGTTTGTGGATATATCCATAAATTTGTTTTTCCAGATAAGGTCACATTTACAAGTTCTGGGAGTCAGGATGTGTGCATACTTTAGGGGGTCACCATTCAACCCAGTATGGGGCATCTTTTGGAGTCCACAGATTAGGACAAGTGCAGTTGCAGGCAGGTGTCTTTAGGACCCGCAGCTGTGTTAGACGGCACGTTCCCCAGGCTGATGGTGGCCACTGAGCTGCAAAAGCACATGGTGCTTTATGGCAAGGAAAGCTGGAGTTTGGTGCAGGGCAGGCCCTTGTAGGCGTGGGGACTGTTGTTTCTTAGGACATCTCGTCTCCAGCTGGTCACTGCTACTGGAGCCAGCGGATGTGGGCGGAGAAGGGGGTAAGCTGCAATGTGATGGAGCTGTTAAACCACCTGTGCCCTGAGTAGCGGCTGCTGGCTGGCTCTCGGGGTGGGCTTCATGCTTCTAACAGGGTGAACAAAGGCACATAGGAGCCCTTCTCTTACCAGCTCCCTCTTCTGGAAGGTGGTTGAAAGAAAGAAGATGAGATACAGGAACAGTGAGACAGGTGAACATTCTCTTCCTGGGAACTTTCCTCAGGTTCTGACGGGGTGGTACCCGTATGGGCCACACAGCTGCAGTAGCAGCTGAGAATCTTACAGTTTCCCTCCTAGTCCCTGGACCACCTGAGTCGGGCCCACACATGGCACTGGGCAGTGGCTGGGAGATGCTGCTCTTTGGAACCTTGTCTTTTGTCTCTTTCCTTCTGTTGGGCCAACTCTATACTCCACACCAGACATTTTTAAGAAGATTTGATTTATTTATTTTTAAAGAGAGGGAGAGAAACATCAATGTGTGAGAGAAACATCAATCAGTTGCCTTCTACACACCCTCCAACTGGGATCGGACCAGCAACCGAGGCGTACCCCCTGACTGGGAACCAAACGGCCTTTCACTTAGCTGCATGACACTCAATCAACCAAGCCACACCAGTCAGGGCTCCATACCAAAGATTTTAAACCAGGCTATTTGCCCAGAAAAGAGGGATTCTACTTCCTTTCTGACTTGACTTAGGTTGGGTTTCTGGAACAAGTGGTGGGATGCTTCCTGTGAGGCAAGTAGCCTGCCTGAGTTATTAGCCATGGCCGTATGATTTTCCAGGCTGAGTCTAGGGGGTAGAAATGCACAGCTGAAAGCACATCCTGCTGGAACCTGTGTTGTTCCCTGTTGTTCACACACGCCGTCTGTGTTACCAGCTGCTTGATGCTCGAGAGAAATCCAGGTGGCCAGTAAAATAAGCACAATAAAAAGCACTTCTCTTGAGCTAGTAACTAAAACAACACAGACTCCAACTAAAACAAAAAGCAATTTTAAAGTGCAGCAAATAAAGACTTCTGGTGCTCCGCTGGCAAGGTGCAGGGGACAGGCCTGTGATGCTATACCTCCTATGTGGCAGGATGGAACAAGCACTCAGGAAGTGTCCTTAACCTGTTTAACTGTAAGAGTCAGGTACACACAGTGACTTTGGCACTGTAGAGGAGCTCATTGAACCATCATTTGTAGCCACCAAAAACCACAGAAAAAAAACAAGCTGTATGTCAACCACATGCACCTGCACAGCCAGTGTTGTGAGCATCTTGTGATAATGGAACACAATATGTAGCATGTTGGTGTGAAAAAACCAATAGACAAAGTTATGTATAAGGTGTGACCCCAATAAAAAAGTACAGGCTGCAGAGGCACACCCTGCTACCATGTGGGTGGGAAAATGGTACTGTCATTGAACTTTCCAAAAGAAAAAAGGCCCTTTCTCTTATGCATACAAATCAGTATTTATGTATGAAATTATATGATGCTTCATTAAGTAAGCTATGGCAGCACTCATAATTTTTCTACATAAAAGTTTGTATAACATTAGGAATGTCTGCTCTTTGCTTGATAAAATTGTTTAGACCTAATGGATTTCATGTAGGTGATGGTAGATTTTAAACCACTGATTCAATTTCCTTGAAATTCAATTTAGTCCTACTAAGGTTTTTTTTATTTCTTGAAAAAGTTATATTTTCCTAGCACAATGTTCAGTTAATCACTTTTACTTCTATTTTCATTTTTAAAAAGATTGTACTTATTCTCATTTAGAGAGAGGGGGAGGAAGAAAGGGAGAGAACTATCAATGTGTGGTTGCCTCTTGCATACCGCCTACTGGGGATCTGGCCTGCAACCCAGGCATGTGCCCTGACTGGGAATCGAACCGTTGACCTTTTGGTTCACAGTCCAGCACTCAATCCTCTGAGCCACACCAGCCAGGGGATAGGCCAAATGACTTAGGGGATAGGCCAAATGACTTAGGAGATGGGCCAAATGACTTATATGTATGACCCATGGACATGTACTAAGGGGGAGGAATGCTGGTGGGAAGGGTGCTGTAGGGTGGAGGGGAATAAAAGAAAGAAAAAAATGGGACAGCTGTAATAGTATAATCAATAAAATAAAAAAAAGAGATAAGCAAGGTAACATGGCAGCGCAAAAAGAATAAAACGTCTCCGGACAGCAAACTCAGTCATGAAGACTGTCATGGAAATGACAGAGAATTCAAGATCGCAGTTATGAAGTAACTCGATGAGATCGAGAAAACTCAGAAAGGCACATCTGTGAGCTCAGAAACAGACTTAAACTAAAGGGGTGCATCTCCAAAGCGCTTGAAACTGTCAGGGAGAACCAAACAAATTATGGAGCTGAGGAACTCAACAAATGGGATGAAGCATATCGGAAACAGCATTAGAAAGCACTGAAAATATAGCAGACCACATGGAAGGGAGAATTATTAGCGAGCTTGAAGGCAGAAATCTAGAAATGTTTCAGGGGGTAGGGGGAAGAGGAAAGAGAACTAACATTTTAAAAGTAGGAATGAATTCTATGAGAACTATCTGACTGCATAGGAAAGAGCAACATCAGGAGAATGGGTTTCCCAGAGGGATGCAGGGGGACAGGGGAACAGAGAGTCTATTCAAGGGGATAATCAGTGAGAACTTCCCAAACCTGTGGAAGGAGCTGGACGTTCAAATACAAGAGGCTAACGGAATGCCTACATATCTCAACACAGAAGGACCTCCCCCAAGGCACATTGTATGAAAACTGTCAGAAGTTAATGACCCGGAAAGAGTTCTCAAGGCAGTCAGGGAGAAAAGACAGTAACCTACCAGGGAAACACCTTCAGGTCATCGTCAAGAGTTTTCAGTAGAAACCCTACAAGGCTGGAAAGAATGGAATGGTATATTCCAAATATTGAAAGAGAGAAACCAGCAAAGTTACCCTTTAGGTATGAAAACGAAATGAAGGCATTCCCAGACAAACAAAAGCTGTGGGAATTTGTTATACCAGCCCTGCAGTGAAAGACATGTGGAAAGGAGCTCTTGCACCTACAACAAACAGACAAAATACACAGAACTGTGAGTAAGATGGCAGTCGGACGCAGGAAATCGCAACGTTACCTCAGAACAGGGTATCAGACACTGAATTATAACAGAGTGGTTAAAGGGCAAAAGATGTGAAAATTAACTATAACTACTGCACATGGTAATGGGTGCACAATGTGAAAAGGGATCCTTTGTGATAACGGAAGCATACAAGAGGAGGGGGAAAGGGCTCACCTGGTCCAGGCAAAGGAAGAGAAGAAGCAAGGAGGAGAAAGGGGACTATTGTGTCCAGGGGACACTTTATACAGATCTAATGGTAGCCACAAAACAAAAATCCAGAGCCGAGACACGAAGCTGGCAAACAAGGGGAGATGGGGAAAAGAATCCCATCGAGAACCGCTACACTCAAACAACAGACAGAAACACGAGGGAAAAGAAACAACGGTCATACAGAGCAATCGGAAAACAAAAGGTAAAATGGCTCTAGTAAGTCCTCATGCATCCAGGATCACCCTTCTGAGCGCCTCGGCCCCTCCCTCACGTCTGCAGAAGAGGGAGCCTTCTGTTGTGGCCAGTGGGGACAGATGTTCACAGAGCTCCAGCTTGAGCAGTGAGCACAGGCACCTTGAATCCTTTCTGGAGGCCCTTTCTCAGGCCTAGGGTAGTTTCCTCACACACGTGTTCTGATCAGCATTCTCCTGAGTAACCCAGGGGTCCTCTGCACATCCCCAGGGTCCTGTCTGCCTGATGCTCTTGATCTACAGTCGGCTCTCCCTCCGTCTCCTGCAAAGCCCAGAATCAGTCTACTTGCGTAGCCTGACAGATGGGTGGCTGATGCTGCTGGGTTGCTGTGAAACAAGTCAGGTCACTTCCTTCTTCTGTTCAAGAAAATCGGCAGAGGGGACCCTTACTCAGGCACAAAGCCGAAGACCTAAAACTCCCGATGTGATCTGGCCTGCTTTCCTCTCTGGTTTTAAGCACTCCCACTCTTTCCCTTGCTCATTCTGATTCAGCCACACTGGCCTCTTCTCGCTTTCTAAACTACCTGGCCCTTGTGCTGCCTCAGAGCCTTTGCACTGGCTCTGACCTGTCTGGGGACTCTCTTCCCCTGGGTTTCCACCTGACTCACTTCCCGACTTCAGGTCCTCAAATGCCACCCCTGCAGAGAGGATTTCCTGGCCCCACTATTTAAAATTGCAACCCTCCTCCCCTCCCCGCTGCTGCGTTACCCATTACCCCTGCCATATGCCCAACTCCTGGAGTAGTGCCTGCCTGGCACAGAATAGTCCCAGACACGTGTTGTCCTTAACCAGCCCACGATCTCTCACCCTGCTCTTGTCTACTCTCTTTCTTGGGCCCGGAACGCTCCTGGACAGCCCTGGATCTCCCTCACCCTTCTCTAACAGATGGGGGAGAAGTGGTGGGTAGGCGCACATTGCTTGAGATACAATGGGGACAGTGGGGAGTTGTCCTATATGGAGGAGTCTGGGTGCAGTGCAGCCAGCGGAGAGTTCTGCACAGAGAGGGAGAAGGGCCACCTGGTAGCTAGAGAGGACCCTACTGCCTCCCGTGTTCAGAAAGGGCTGAGGGCGGACAAGGCAGAAACGGGGAGACTGGCATCTAGGCGAGAGTCAAGAGCGGCTTGGACCCTGGCCTTTGCTGTATATGCCAGCAGCTTGCAGGTGCCCTTCCAAACATACAGAGAACGGCGTGTGTGGGGAGTAGATGAGCGACCTGACTGAGGAGGGGGGTTGGATTGCTCTCCATCCGAGTGGTTGATGGGACTGGACAGGTACTGGGAGTGTATCTGTAGGACAGTAGCCCCTTCCTGGGGCACTGTGGGAGGGAGAGTTTTGGCTGAGTGGGGGCTGCAAGAACAGGACTCTGGGCGCGGACAGGAGGAGCCTGGGAAGGAGGCCAAGGAAGCCTTCTGGGCAGCCGCTTTAACTAGCACTGGGAATGCCGGCCACTGTTCCCCCAGGGACTGGGGGCTGAGCGAAACCGATTCCCTGGCAGAGGAGCAGGGCAGGGTCGGCACTGAGGACAGAAGGCCTCCTGAATGCCACGGGCTGCTGAGCTAGCCCTCGTCGCTCTGTGGCATGTTTGGGGGCTTTGGAGTGTGTCCTGGGGTGCCAGGGCTGCAAGTGGGAGCGGTCTTGTGCTCAGGGCCTAGCCAGCTGGGCTGGGTCTTCCAGATGACCTTGGGGGAGGGGCCCTGACCAGGGCACGCCAAGGCTGAGCCTCCCGGTCTGGATCCAGCAATGAGGCCCTGGCGGCTGCTGTGCGAAAAGCACGGGGTGGAACGGAGGGAGGCCGGGCCAGAGCCTGCCACGACTGTGGCAGGAGCCGTGACAGGGCATCTGGGGAGGGGACACCTGGTGAAGTCCCTGGGACCTATGGGCTGGTGCTCCCCGTGCCAGCCCCCGCCTCTAGCAGTGTCTGAGGCACTCAGACAGGGCGAGTCAGGCTCTGAGCAGCTGACTCCTGTGGCCAAGCTCACGGGCCTCAGTGCGCCAAGCCCAGGTGACACAGGAGGATGTGCGGTTGGGTGGACTTGGCGCTGGGGACTCGGTGCCTGGGTGCCGAGGGGGACACCCCCCGGGTGGGCCGGGGCTGGCTCTGGGAAACCCATCATCTTCTTTTAGGGTTCTCGTGTGTGTGTGAGCCTATCGGGACACGGCTGTGTGGGGGCAACAGACCGTACACCAGACCTTGGGCCTCAGGGGACCACCAGCTCAGCTCCCTGTCACCCTCGTGGACCTTCCCCGGCTCCCCTCTTTGGAGGGAACAGGCCCGGCAGTGCCTGTTTGGCCCTCCACTGCCGCTGCTCCTGCCGCCCCTCTCCTTCGTAGGAGGGGCTTCATTCTGACGACCTCCCACACCTGTTTGTGCTTTTAAAGCTTCTGTACTCCAACACACAGGAGGCAGGGCGTGGGCAGTGGGCTGTGTCGTGATCCACAAACGTGTGTTCCATGGCTATTTGAACCAGCCCCCTACTATATAGGCCTTTGTGCCGTTCTCACTGTTCACTCTGACTAGCAGTGCTGAAATGACCATCCCAGTCATTGGGATCTAACTTTGTTTTCTGTCCACGTTGTCAGTCCGCTGTCCCAACACAACTGACCGAATATTCCCCCGCTCTGTTGAAATGTCACCTTCACCGAACTATAAATCCCCGTCTGTGTTTGTTCTTGCACATCGGCTCTTCCAGCCGATTCCGGTTGAGAGATTCCAGGATGTCCTCTCTGAAAGAATGCTGGGAAGGATACAGCATGAAAGGGAGGGAATGGGTTAGGGGGGCGGTGTGCCACTAAGGGGCACGTATGAGATTGTGGCCACTTAATTTGGAGGTTTGGATTCACCGACAATAAAAACCCCAAGTCGAAGGCGAATAGTTAAGCACTTTGTTAAGCGAGAGCAAGAGGAAAGCAAGATTCAAGAGCATACATCGGCAGAGGGAAATCACCAACACCCGAACACAGACACTGGGGAATCCTGGAG